TATAACATAAGAATTGATAAGCACTATTTTTCAGAATTTTGAGATTTAATACGTGTTAAGGAAATCATTTTGAAAATTAAATGTATTGTTTGTTGCTATAGATTACTTAGAGAAAATTTAATTAACTAATAATTATATGTGTATAATATTAGCATTAGCTAAAGCGAATTCTAGAAACCAAATAAATTTTGTCGTTTGAAAATTTGTTTTTATGTAAACAATTTATGCATAGTCTATGAATAAAGATTCTTATGTATATCTTTTGTTTTAATAACATTTCGCAGAATACTTTTAAAAAAAGGAATAACCTTTAATTTGCAGCAGAAAGGAATAAACTAAATATTTTGACTCATTAATAGAAGGTAATCAGTTTTTAAGTATAACGCATTAAACACGAATGCGATAAAAATTGCTGAAAAATGGAAAACAAAAATCAGTTTTCTGTGTAATAATTTAACTTAATTACATGCTGTATTTCTTTAGTATTGTTAAAAATTAAATATGGATGATTAAAAATGCATATACAGGAAATAATAGCCAATAAATTATTAGTCAACTTAGTACAAAGATTAAAAAGAGAAGTTATACCTTTCTGACAAACAGCATCAATCATAGTTCTTGATCATGGCTTTAAGTACGTTAATACTGTAATTTACTATTCATACGACATTATCACTAGAGTTTCAAAGTAAAAAAAGAAAACAAAAAGAGTTTATATTAGCAGCTTTGAAAATTTTAACTTAAAGACATAATGCATTGGGTTTAGAAGAAATGAAAAAAAAAAATCCAAACAGTTTTTTTTCTCATTTATATTAATATGCAGCTTCAAAATTTGTTCAAGGAATTAAAAAAAAATCTTGTTATTACTGATGTTAAGATGAAAGTGAGTAATTGAAAGACATATCATTTGTGTATTCCTTTCTGATAATAAGAACACGTTCAAAGAATTAAATTTTTAATTTTTTAAATTCTTTATTATTAATTTTACAAAGATTGTTAAGGCATTTCGTAATAGTGTATTATTTTAATCACAGAAATATAAGAATTCTAATAAATGTGTAATTAGGAAATTTCCAATTTACAGATTATACATGTTTACATATAATAAATTCAAATATTTATTTCTGTAGGTCACACACATTTAGGTGAAAGGAAATTCATTAAACTGCAGATTTAATTCCAAATAGGAATGAAAGAAATTCATTAGTTGATTAATTGTTTTGGAATAAAATGTATTTAATGGTAATTTATTTTAAACCTGCTTATAATTTTAACCCACAACACAATATCTTTGAATATTAATAAATAATATTTCAATAAAAATCACAAAAAAGTTTATCACACGACAACTACAAGAAGTTAATATTATTTTAAACAGTTCAAAGCACATAAGCAAAATTTGTACAATATCTAGTCGTGTACATTTCGTCTTGAGCGGAAACATACACGTACCAACGACTCGACGAAAATACCGTCCATTTAGAGTTCTCAACCCTGCCCATTTACTGTCCCATGATCAGTTTAATCTTTTTAAGATAAATTAATAGAAGATTTCTTAAAACCAGTCTGTCAGCGAATCACAGAAACTCCTTGAAATACTAAATCATTCTAATTGTATGCATCTAAATATTTACTCTGTAACTTGGACTCCTTGCTGCAACCGGATAGGTTAAGCATTGTCCTGCCCATTCCGGTCTTGATCACGATTTTATCATCAAGTCATAAATTTATCATCAGTTTTCAACTTTAAATTTATAATTGTAATTTTATTCATATCAAAGTATTTCTTTTTTACTATTATTATTCAATTGTTGTATTTTAAATTTTGAAATAGTATTTATTAAGAAGGGCAATTTGAAAGCGATTTAATCTCGCGTAAAATGTCATGAAAGGAGATGAAGGTTCGGAAGAACTAAGTGCTCCCAACCCAGCAAACTACAAACTACAAAATCAGTCACATTGACAATTCATTTGAAGTTTAAAGCCATTTAAATAAAATAAACGTTTAACAAACTGTGCATTTTAAAACAGTAAACCAGACATAAAAGCGTAGACAGATGGAATAAGAGAGGGAATTCACAAAACAGTTTATTTGCTATTGTTACACGTTTTCATCGATTATTTAAATCGGAAAAGTTGGGTAAAGGAGTATAAGGTGCGTGCTATACTCTTTTTCAACTTAAGTCATCACCAAGTTTGCACGTAACCAGCACTTGGGAATTGCGCAGCTGGGTTTGAAAAGCAACAAATAGAAAAACATACTCCCTGGTGGAAGGCTCAAACCTTACTTGAAATGCTTTATGATCGTTCTTTGCTGCCCTATTTTTTTTCTAAATAACGTCAATTTAAGAGCACCCATGGGGAGTTGATTTAAATGATTTCGATGGTTCTCTGTTTACAAAGTTATGCGCTTAAAATATTCATTTCTTTGAGTTTGCTACTGAAATTGAGGTTATTTCTTCAAAGTAAAATCGTTTTTTCGTATCTAACAACGTTTGTTTCAAAGGTATTAGTATGTTTCTTTAATGATAATGCAACGGTAATAGTTTTTATTGTTTGACTTCTAAAGTCACTGAGTCGTAAACTTTAGGATGTTTTTAACACACAAAATAGGTTGGCTTTTTTTTACTAGTGATAAACATCCTCTTTGTGAATGATACTCGGTGATATTCTATAGATAAGTAAGTTCCTTTGAAATGTTTTGCCTTAAGATAAAAAAAAAAGTTTTGAAAGCAAAATAGAGGGCAGATTCAACATAAGAAGTAATACCTTTTCATTTATAATTGGAATTAAATGTTTTTGTTTAAGATTAAAAGTATAAACACTGGCAACTAAACAACTGTAATATATTAATGATCAGTGCAGATTCATGAATTGACATGAATGGAAGGATGGATCACTAATCTATGGAGAAAAAAACTCATTAATAAAAACCTACTTATGCCTTTAAGACCCAACCCGCACGATCGTGCGGGTCAGATATTCTTTTACGTTTTTGCTTCTGGAATAGTCGTATGTAAGAAAATATCGAATCTAACAATTGAGCCGGTTTTCAGATACTTATAATCAAAAGACGATATGGTCGGAGTTCATTTTTTACTTTCAGCTGGCAAATTTAGCTTTGTTTTCAAATACAACGGAAACACGTCTTCTTTTTATCCGTCGTATAAAGGTAATTATTAATATATTTCTAATTGCTTAAATACAAATTTTTGTATTAATGTTTAAATAATAGTAAAATAGAAAAAAAATTATTAACTATACTCTATTAATGTGACTTGTAGGACTCGGGATTTCGTTACACGCACGATCGTGTGCGTTGGGCGTTACTTGAGTCACTTCGGCTGTAAAGGTAAATACTTACCATGCAAGTTTTCTGTTTCTGTTTCAATAATTTTGATGAAAGCCTACATAAAAAATGAAATATATAATATAAATAATACCAAATTTTTTTGGGGGTCACAATGGATGAGTTTCTTTTTTTTTTTCTTTTTCATTCTATTTTGCAATTCATTTTCTTTTCATACGTTTGTTGAGGAGTATGTCATTTTTATCCTTCTCACAGACATCTACATCCATATATCTCAAAAAAAAAAAAGATTTGTGTTTTCCGGTGGGAGTTAGTATGGTGTGGTTTAAATATGAATAAATATATATAATAAAATTTTCTGATAAATTTTACTATTTTTCATGGAATAATGTGTTAACTTTTAACCGAAAAATTAGTTAGGTGCCTAAAAGGAGAAGAATTCTCACAAAAGAAATTTTTTAATTGAAGAATAAATCAGATTGAACTTAGATCAGATCTTATTGAGTTTTCGGATGATGACAATGCTACGAACAAAATATATGAATCAGATATATTGGAAGGATAATCAAATTCAGATGAGAGCGATGAAGAAACACAGGGGAATATTTGAAATGGAAATACAATGTTGGATCATTCTTTACCACAATTGTCTTTTGAACATATTCATTACATTTATTTAGCTGTTGCAAATTCTTGGTTTGTGTGCAAACAAGATGCAATATCAAATAAAGTTTCTCTAAAAATCAAAGTGGATTGCTAAAAATTTAAGCTAGAGTTAGCTGAAGCGTTATCAGCCTCTCCACCTACTAACAAAAGTGTTTTAACTGATAATGAAAACAACAGTGTTGTAAATCCTCTCGAAAAAAGATCAAAGCGTTATAATCTACCTTCTATACATGTAATGGCTTTTATCCTGGGCATATTCCTGGATAAAATGCTTGACATGTATAGAGATTTTTGATGTGTCGATGACGTTTCAAGGTCTCGCCAGTGCATATTTGAAAACTACGAAAGCAGTTTGAAAACATGTTGGAAAAAATGCAATGGCTATTTCTACTTTTCAAAAACAAAACAATTTTTTACAGTAAATAAATAATGAATTAATAAAATAGTTAAATATACATCAATAATTTCCTTATTTGTAAAAATTTTAGTAGAATTTAGATTGTTTCTTCTATCAACTTAGAGCTAAAAATGTATAACTTGTGTAAAATTTCATAAGTGACCTGTTTCACAGATAACGCCCAACCCGTACGATCGTGCGGACCCCGGTTATGTTCCAGGAGAGGTGCGGGAATTTTTTAATTTTTTTCCCAATGTCATTGGGGTCCATATAGTTTTAATAACCAAAAGAATTTAATATTTGAAGATAAGAATAATTCAGGTCTTAAAGGGTTATGCGGAAAAGGTGTTCTATGTTAAGAAGATTAAGAATAAAAAAAAATTTAAAAAAAGTAGTTTCGCAATTACCAAAAATAATTTAAATTTTTGAAACATATTTGAAGACTTAATTTTGTTTAGATGATTTTATAGAGTCAAAATAAAATTTTTTCTACCATATAAGAAACTCAAAGAGATAATTATTGATTTGTAAAGACTGTGAGTGAGAATAGTACAATGTACTTTGTAACATTTCATAACCCCAGCTAAGTGTCCCTGCACCATCGAATAAGCTTTGTAACGAACTTTAGCCAACCAGACAGTATGGTGGATATGACCCTCGGCTTGAAACCGAGTGGGCTCGGGTTTGAATCCCGAATAAGGCATGGATGTATCCTCGGGAAAAGAAGTCGGACTTTGGCCTAAAATGGCTTCACGTCTCGAATGGAAAGACGCGCATTCCTTCTGTTCCATGTTGGGATCAAAGTTTGTAATAAAACGTCTTCTGTGTTTGTATTGTATGTTTCTGTTCTTCCATCCCTCGTCTTTCATATGTATAACACCATACATATATATATCCCCACATCAACAACAACGAACTCTAGACAGATTCTAAAACGATAGATGGCAACGAGTCGGACCTGAGGTACTGCGAATGTGTGAGTGCCACACCAGGGAAAATTCGTTAACTATTCCTCAAAGATAGAAGTTGGTGAGTTCTGCCAGTGAGCTAAGTGAGAACATTTTGTATATGCCGAAGGCAGATGTGTGTTGGATGCTATTTTTAGTTTTTTTTTATTTTTCTCTAAAAGTGTCAAAAAACCCCAGGAGATGTATTATTTTCAACCTAAAACGTGTACAAAATGTAATATCACTTTTTGTTGTGTGTCATCGTGACCCTATAAATCAGTAAAGCATAATTGAAGCTTCATCATTGAAAAACGAACGACACTACAACCTGATCGAATATGTTTCCATTGTACGCTTGATCGTATCCTGTGATTTCGACGGTAGGTATTTTAGTACTAAAGAAGCTGTTAAATGTGCTTGTGTTTTTTCTTGTAACTATTTAGCAGGTGTCCTATCATTACAATAAATGTTTAAACTACCAAAATGCATTTTCTCTCTCTTTAAAACTTACTTAATTTTTTTTCCATAAAAAATTCAATAACTTAGCTTTATTCTCCTGGTGGTAACACTTAGTAAAAAAAAAATTGTTTTATTTATTTTTTGATTCATCTGTATACCAAAGAACATTTTTTACCCATAGTTAGGTTTTGGGATTCTGAAAAATGAATAAGTTAATGAACAGCCAGAAAATAATATTCAAGTGTAACAGCTCAACAAATATATAATTAAGTGAACCTCAGTACTAAAATTAAAATTAGTAAAACCTACAGTTATTTATTAAATGGCTATTTTAATGAATAATTACCTTTTCAGCATCAATCTTGTTTTTGCTGTTTTTAAGACTTTTAGGAACTCAACTATATATAAATGTACGCTAAATGCTAAAATGCTAAACCAAAGGGTGGCCGAGTTTGGGAAAATGATGGGTTATCGAGAATGACATTAATAAAGAATAAGTACGAGTATTTCCACAAAGCAATATTCTACTAATTTTGCATGTATTGTTTACTTAAGAAAACAACAGAAAATAAACTGCCCCAATACCTTTAAATAAAGAAAAAAGTACCCACTTTATGAAAATTAATCAATACATAGTATACAGTATAGTATTAATTAGTAGTATACCTGACCAGACTCCCCTAAAAAAAGTACTTTATAAAAGCATAAATCTATCTATAAAGAAAATTAAGTAGCCGACTTTGCAAAAACTGGCTACTTTTTATTTTAAAGAAATGTACAATACCATGTTGTCTCCCTTAATGTTGTTTTGCTGCTTCATCATGAAAACGACGAAGGAACAATAAGTCAATCACCAACGCGCCTTGCTCAAAATACTGAAGGGAGGTTTCCACCGCCTTTAGTCCCTCACTATGTGATATTTTACAAGTTTGTACAATGCCCTCAACGTTAACATCTTCATCATTTCCCGGCATTTTTTTCATTAAATATAACAACAGCAATATTTTTTGCATCAAATATAATGTCTTGCTGACTATCGTTCTGGAACCACTGTTTCTTCTACCTGCAACGGTGTGGTCGAGTTATCAGGAATACCGGGTTATTGAGTGACAGGTTTCTACTGTGCTTAAAATAATTGATGCATTACTGATTGATATGTACATGAATCTGTAACGGAATTGTAGAAAATTCTACCCTCAAAAAAAATTCTAATTAAAAACAACAGCTCACTACTCTATAACTCTTTAAAGTTCACTGCATATTCCCTTTGAAAAATTTACAAAATGATTTCAAAAATGACTATTAGACATGTAGGTCATCCCAAATATACAAAGAAAAAATTAGCATTTTTCAATTTTGAGGAACTTATGGTTTCACTGTGAAACCAGTGAACAAGTAACGGCCCATTTCCCCTACTTAAACTTACAACAGTGCTTCTCAAACTTTCAATACTGGCGCCCCCCTTTTCAATCACAATTTTTATCGCCCCCTTATACATAATAATTTACTGAATGCAATAATAATGCACTTTTACGATAAAGCAACAATATTTATTATAAACCGTACAAATTCATGACGTAAGTATTAAATTTTGTATATGTTACTTTTAAGCAAAAAAAAGTTAAGTAATAGGATAATTACTAAATTATTTTTCCTTTCTCTGATTTTTAAATTGGAACATATTACAAAATGCGGTGGTTGCTTAGAAGACAAAATATAGATATCAGCTAAATATAGAAAATGAATTCATAGGGTCAATTTCTTATCTTAAAACTCCTTTCAAAAACTTTGCTCTGTAAGACAAGCCCATGGAAGTAGCTAATTATTATTAAACTTGTTCTTAATTTAGTATTAATTAATTAGTCATAAAATACTCTGTGCACCACTCATACATTAAAAGCAGTGTTTCTCAAACTTTCAATACTGGCGACCCAATTTTCAATTATAATTTTTGTCTCGCCCCCCTGTACAACAATAATGTATTTACTGCAATAAAAATGCACTTTGAGAGAGAGACGCTAAAGTTACAATACGATCTTAATTATAAACCGTACAAATTAATAAGATAAGTATATTAAATTTTGTGTATATGTAACTTTTAAGTAATATATATTTTAAGAAAATTACTTAAAATATATATTACCTAGAATTATGTTATTTTCTTTTTCTCTAATTTTTAAATTGGAACAGATCGCAAAATGATGTATTTAATTAAAGATTTATTTCCTTCAGCATATTCATTTCTCAAAGTACAAATGTTATTAGAAAAATAGTCTAGTCAATGTCGCTCTCTATCATATCCATCACATCTGGCATTATAGGGTACGTTTGCGTGAGTCTGAGCAACCTATCGGACGTCTGCGCAAAATATGTAAAAATGCTTTTCCTCGTACAATTCCAGTCAGTTTTGGTCGACTCTATACTCCTATAGCTACCGAATCTAGCTTGAATGTACATTTTTTTAATTTCCACGTTAATTGTAATTCACGGTAATTAAGTATTTACGGCAGTAGATTAAAACAATATCATACATACATTTTTAAGTCGTAAGCAAACATTCGACCATAATAAAGAATCAACAAGTACACAGACGAACGAGCATGGTTCCGAAAATTAAATCAAGGCGATCTTCTCAAAAATACTTAAATTTTGGATTTACCACTACTGAAGTAAATGATGGAAAAAAGCCCCAGCTCGATATGTGTTAAAACTTACAAATCTGTAGAACAACATGTGAAAGTTGTTTTTAAAACATGTAAAATCATTTAGCTATGTTGGCAAAAGAATTTTAAAAAGTATTTTCTGGATGAGGACAGCTAGGTAGCAAGTTACGAGTGGATTAGGGATCTATTTCAAGATACTTCAGAAGGGCTCTCAACTTCCGAAGAAGAAATCTTCATAGATTTCACATCCAGTGAAAAATTAAAAGGCAATTTTGTAATAAATCGCTCTTTGAATTTGGGGTAGAGGTGGATGAGGAATTATCTGTACTGAAAACAAAAGCACTTCGTATACTATTACCATTTTCAACATCCTACCTTTCTCAAACCGGATTTTCTGCAGAGGATGCCTTGAAGACAAAATATAGATCTCAGCTAAATATAGAAAACTAACGCTTTAAGTGTCAATTTCTGATATTAAACCTTCCTTTGAAAAACTTTCCTCTACAGGACAAGCCTGTGAAAGTCCCTAATAATTATTAAACTTGTTCTTAATTTAGTAATAAGATTGATTGAATATTAACGTCGCACTGTTCAGCTGCACGAGGGCTTTTGACGACGGACCACGTAATTTTGAACCATGGTCAAGTGACGTGGATGACACCTGAGCTGGCACCCCTCTCTCCTAACTACCACACCACACCAACGGGAAAACGTTTCAACTCTCTACAGATTTAACGTGCATCGCTGCCCTACACGGCGGGTCTTTAGTGGTACAAGGCTCGAACTCGTGACAAGGCAAGCCACGATCCGATACCTATACCACTCGGCTACCGCGGCCAAATTCAGTAATAAGAAATTATTTATAAAATACCTTCTTCAGTACTGATACATCAAACGTATACTGGCTGAAACACCGACTCTTCGCACGAGTTCATTTTTAAAAAAATAAAACATTATTCTTGATATAATAGCTGAACTGTAAGGAGAGTAAAACTGTGTGCACGACATTGTATACAAAAATGTAAAATGATTTTTTTAGATAAATGCTGTAATTGTAAATAACTGTTTAAAAGAACTGTAATTTTAAACCTCACACAATTAGCATTTAGAATTAATGTTAAATTATGAAAAAGAATATAAAATTCCGATGAAGAATAATTGTGTTACTTTTAACATATTTAAAGCGAGAAGACTTCAAAATGTTTTAACCCGGGAGCAGGCGCGTACTCGATACTAACATTAATGGTAGTGCGGGGGACTCAGTCACCCCAATCATTTGTTTAGAATTATTTTTACTGTACACGATACAAATAGGAATTCTAGTGAATATTTTTAATTTATAGAAAGTATACTTACCTTCTTTCAAGGACTATCCAATTCTTTGATGATTTGAAAAAAATCCAATAAAACTGAACTAAAATGATTCAAAAGTACAAGTCCATAATAAAGGACGCAAATCAGACACTTTTCAATTATCCTACAGAAATGTTATACCAATCAATTCTTTTCCAAATATCACAAAACTCAATTATTTACAATTTCCTAAGCGAAAAGCAAACACATAAAAGATGGGAGGGAACTAATATTGATAATAACCATACCGTAAGATTGAAGGTCAATCAAATGATTAGCAA